TGGCAGCTCGGAGCCTGGAGCCTGCTTCAGATTCTGTGTCTCTCTCTCTCTCTGCCCTTACCCACTCACTTGCTCACTTTCTCGCTCTTAAAAATAAACATTAAAAAAACAATAAAAACAAATGAATTGTAAAGTAAGCTTTAATTGGTGAATTGTATGGTCTGTGAAAAGAGATGTTACTAAAACAGAGCATACAGCATACCTTTCCTCAGGTACTGCCAGCAGAATGGCGTCATCGAACATCATGCAGCTTCTGGAAAACTCCACTATACACGTTGGAGAGTATGACAGTGAAAAAGGCAAATCACATTTGAGTATCACTACGAAAATAGTCTGGACCTGGTGGAGCTTCTGAAAGGTCTCACGATTCCCCCACGGTTCCTGGACCACACTTTGAGAACTGCCGCCACACTCTTCCCGTTACTCTCATGTGTTATTGTTGGTCTCAGGTGTCACTGCTGCGGAATTCCCAAATGACCTTCTTCCACTTCCCCCTTCTATGGACTCAATATTGGATACAGTCAGGTTTTAGGAAAACTGTCCTGGGGAAGCAATTATGTGGTGGAGGAGGGGGGCAAGTACACCCCCGAGGCTAATTAATTTTAACAAAAAGATCAGGCAGGACTCAGTCCTCCAAATGCCAGTGCTTCTTAAAGTAGCCACTCTGGGAAAGGCTGTGTGCTTATTGCAAAGACAACACTAGGGATCCAAAATATTTGTTATAATCTTCTTTGGAAATTCTCTCCAGAGCTCTGTGGGCCCTACAGAAACAAACCTGCCCATTACTGACTTGTTACTAAGTCAATCAGACCAAAAGTTTCACGTTTAGCACAGGAAGGATGAGTAGTTTCCTGAAGCCAAACCTGCCCTCTGAGGACGGGGCTCAGTTGTCTCTGAGTGCCTGAGTCCTAGGGACTGCTAAAGGGCAGTCCCAAAATGCCACGAACCCGCAGTAATGCGAAACAGGCATGTTATGAAAACAAATGTCACTTTCTAGGTGTGAGCTTCCTTCCACCAAGGCACCGACTAAGCAGGTACTGGCATGTACCAGGATCACTACGTCAGGATCTGAGTTCACGGTGAACACACAGACCTAGTCCTGCCTTGAGACGTGTGCTGTACACATACGGTCTCACCAGTTCCAGAAAACAAGGCCTGCATGTTCTGTATTTTAATCAATGCGTGGCCCTTTACTTAAGAGGAAACAGGCCCAGAGAGATGAAAGGAGAGTGTGGTCAGGCAGGAGGGCTCTGGAGTCGGCCTGGCTTAGCTGATCCGTAACTGCTGACACCCTCCCTGTGAAATGGGGATAATAACTATCCTACCCGGGGCGCCTGGGTGGCTCAGTCGGTTGAGTGTCTGACTTCAGTTCAGGTCATGATCTCATGATTTGGGAGTTCAAGCCCTACATGGGCTGGCTGCTGTCAGCTCAGAGCTTGCTTTGGATTCTTTGTCCTCCTCTCTCTTCCCCTCCCTCATTCATGCTCTCTCAAAAATGAATAACTATTTTTTTTTTTTAAATTGTCCTATCTGAAGAGGCTAAGAGGAGTAAATGAATTGATATTTTTAAAATACCTAGCACAGAACTTGGTACACTGTAAATACTCAAGAAATGTTAGCTATTGGTAAAACCAAAAACAACACCCAAGTCTTTCAGATCCTAAGGCCCACATTCTTTCCTGCTTAAACTTTTTTAATTTACAGATCGTTTAAGAATCTGATAAAAACTGGGGCGCCTGGGTGGCGCAGTCGGTTAAGCGTCCGACTTCAGCCAGGTCACGATCTCACGGTCCGTGAGTTCGAGCCCCGCGTCGGGCTCTGGGCTGATGGCTCACAGCCTGGAGCCTGCTTCCGATTCTGTGTCTCCCTCTCTCTCTGCCCCTCCCCTGTTCATGCTCTGTCTCTCTCTGTCCCAAAAATAAATAAACGTTGAAAAAAAAAATTAAAAAAAAAAATAAAAGAATCTGATAAAAACTATGTAAGTGATGAGTAACTAAATTCTACTCCTGAAATCATTATTACACTATATGTTAACTAACTTGGATTTAAATAAAATTAAAAAATTAATTTAAGGGGCGCCTGGGTGGCGCAGTCGGTTAGGCGTCCGACTTCAGCCAGGTCACGATCTCGCGGTCCGGGAGTTCGAGCCCCGCGTCAGGCTCTGGGCTGATGGCTCGGAGCCTGGAGCCTGTTTCCGATTCTGTGTCTCCCTCTCTCTCTGCCCCTCCCCTGTTCATGCTCTGTCTCTCTCTGTCCCAAAAATAAATAAACGTTGAAAAAAAAAAAATTTTTTTTTTTAAATTAATTTAAAAAAAATCCACTAGGGCGCCTGGGTAGCTCAGTTGGTTAAGAGGCCGACTTCAGCTCAGATCATGATCTCAACATTCATGAGTGTGAGTCCCATGTCGAGCTCTATGCTGACAGCTCAGAGCCTGGAGCCTGCTTTGGATTCTGTGTCTCCCACTCTCTCTGCCCCTCCCCAACTCGTGCTCTGTCTCTCTCTCAAAAATGAACTATTAAAAAAGACCAAACAAAAAAAACTCCACTAACCCTTTTTGTTTGGTTCATTCATTTATTCCTTCAACAAGTATTTCCCAACCACCTGCTGCACGCCAGGCACCAGGGATGCTGTGGGGCTCGGAGTTTAGTAGGGAGGAGTTAACACACAAGAGTACATACACAAGAGTACGCAATTACAAGAGTACCAGAAGAATACATCTGGAGGGGCCTGAAACAAGCCAGTGAACAGGAAGAATTCCCAGAGGAAGTGCTCTTTAAACTGGGATCAGAAAGGGGCGCCTGGGTGGCTCAGTCGGTTGAGTGTCCGACTTCGGCTCAGGTCATGATCTCATGGTCTGTGAGTTCAAGCCCCGCATCAGGCTCTGTGCTGACAGCTCAGAGCCTGGAGCCTGTTTTGGATTCTTTGTCTCCCTCTCTCTCTCTGCCCCTCCCCTGTTCATGCTCTGTCTCTCTCGGTCTCAAAAACAAATAAAACATTAAAAAAAAGTTAAAAAAAAAATAAACTGGGATCAGAAAAATGCCCAGCAACCTCTTTAGGAACATTTTCCATAAAAAAATCTCTCCCCTTGTCCCCAGGAAAGCTTTTGGGCTTAGAGACTCTCAGGCCATCAACATCAAGGCGGCGAAGAGCAAGGGAGATGCCCAAAGGCTCTGCTGAGCTCTGCAAAGCCACACACACCTGCACGGATGCCCAGGCAGAACTGAAGGACCAGAGAAAGCACATGGTACCACACATCAGATCTGCCTTCAAGACCCATTTCCTAGCTGTGTGACTTTGCACAAACCTCCCAGCCCCTCAGAGCCTCTATTTCTTCATCTGCAGAGTGGGGCACAGTAGGGATAAAATATATTTACTGGACGGGAAGATGCTCTGTAAGCCGTAACATATAACTCAAAAGTAGAAAATTATGATTATCAAATGCACAACTGGAGCTGAAGAATGTCATGCTTATGAAAGCTGCAAATTAAGGGATGAATTTGGGCCACTGAACTGAAGCCTGGATGTGTCATTTCCCACAGATGCCTAGGTTCTCTGCCTCCCCACCCTTGTTAAAACTACCAACAGGTGGGGCGCCTGGGTGGCTCAGCTGATTAAGCGTCTGACTCTTGATTTTGGCACAGGTCACGATCTCAAGGTTCGTGAGTTCAAGCCCCACGTTGAGCTCTGCACTGACTGTGAGGAGCCTGCTTGCGATTCTCTCTCTCTCCCTCTGTCTCTGGCCCTCCCCTGCTCATGCTCACTTGCTCGCTCTCTCAAAATAAATAAACATTAAAAAAAAAAAAAAAAAACTCCCAACAGCCTACGCTAGACTTCCGTTTCTTTTCAGCTCAATTTGCAGCCCTGTTTTGGGGTTGGAACAGTGGCACAAATGGTCAGAGAGGCCCGTAGAATGAAATGGAAGTGTTTCAAATATTCTGATCAACTGAAAGAATTCCAGATGTTTCGAGTCATAAAAATGCTCATAGGTTTCATCTAATGATCCATGTCTGCAAAGCTATCCCGAGCAAACAACACAAAACACAGAAAAACGATGTCCACGTCCACGTCCAGCATTATTTATAAGCACAAAGAACTGACCCACATGTCCAAAAGTAGAGAAACGGTTAGGTACATTATAAATCCTCAAAAGAAGCACTGTATTGCTATTAAAAATTTTAAGCACAAGATGTGGGGATTTATATGTCAATTATATCTCAATAAAGTTGGAAAAAAGAAAAAAACAAGATATGGGTAAAAGCTGGTGATATAATGGTAAATGGGAAAAGCATGCACAACTAAATATTCACAAATGTAGCAACCAGGCAATGAAACATGTATATAAAAGACTTCAGGAGGAAATCTACAAAGAGAACCACCCTATAGGGATTATGGGTCAGTTTTCTAAACTTTCTGTGATTATCTATTATTTTTACAATTACAGTTTTTACATTCAAAAAAGAATTCATGAAAGAATATCACAGAGGCAGGTCACAAAGCAGATGGGACCTGAGAATTGGCACCAGCTGGACTTTTCCAGGATGTCAGCATGCCATTCTGTGAGCAACTCAGGATGACACCAATGTCCCCCATCCAAATCACCGAAGGCCACTCAGCAAGTGCCAGATCCCTATCAGAATGGAGGTTTCCTGATTCCTAGTCCAGGCCATTTTCCACTGGGAGAAAACTGGTCTGGCACGGGTCTCCCACAAGCTTTGAGGGACTCAGGGATTCCGGTGTGGCTGCCCCCACTCCCAAAGACAACTGGTTTGGAAACTTCTGGTATTCCTCCCACAAAACCTCACTGGGCCTCTGCTCCCACTGGCTTCCCATTTAGTGGGGCATTGATATGGTTAATGTGATGGGGAGCTCTAGGTCCAGAAAGCACAAAAGTCTCAAGCAAGGGCTGGAGCCGACTCTAGGCCAAAAGCCACCAGGCCGCCTGCTGTCCCCTGAGTCTGCTAAAGTGGCAAGTAACAGAGTGGGAATCGTGAGGACTCACCTCATCCATTCCAGAGGCAGTGAAGAAGATGCCAATCTCCTGGGCGTATCTCTGCAGCTCCCTGTACTGGGCATGGCTGAACTCCAGGTGGCGCTTGTGCTCCCCATACGTCTTCCCCCAGGAATGCTTCGACGTGTAGGGCCTCTCCAAGGCTTTCCGATTAAACTTGTACTCCAGCTCACTCTTCTGGAACTTGGCACAATCGGCCCCACACTCCTGCAACACACAACAGGGCTCCTTCAGTGACTTGTCCTGGATTCTCACAGAGGAGAGAAATGTTGGGGCAACTGCTCTGACATCAGTAACTTTAAATATAAAGATTGACTGAGGGGCACCTGGGTGGCTCAGTCAGTTGCGTGGTTGAGCATCAGACTTCGGCTCAGGTCATGATCTCGTGGTTCGTGAGTTCGAGCCCCACATCGGGCTCACTGCTGCCAGCCTGCTGGCACAGAACCCGCTTCGGATCCTCTGTCCTCCCTCTCTCTGCCCCTCCCCTGCTTGTGCTCTTCCAAAAATAAATAAATAAATAAATAAATAAATAAATAAATAAATAAATAAATAAATAAATATTAAAAAAAAATAAGGTTGACTGACAGTGGCAAAAGGGGCAGAAGGAAGAAAATCTTGAAACAAAGGCTGGGGATGGAGCTTCCCCCTATTTTTCCCCCTTAAAATGCAAAAAGGAAAAAATGAAGGCTTTTTAAATTTTATTTTATATTAGAATACTGAAAATAATTCAAGAGCTAAAGAAGATTTTAAGTTGGGTAACTCAGCAGAGGATAGCAAAATGAGCCCTAGGCCAGAATTGAGGGGAAGTCAGAATCTGCTAACCCTTGGAGAAATCACTTCCTGTCTCTGGACTCGGCGTCTCCATCTACATAAACAGCAGCTCTGGGCCAGCTCCAGGACCCTTCACCGTTCTGAGGAGCCCCTTATGGGGCAGGAAACAGACAGCTCTGCTTTAGCTGTTTTGCACTTGTGCGTTTTGCATGGCATCTTATTTGAACAAGAGGTTCTGGAGCAAAAAGCAAACAAACAAGACTTAGAACTAAGTTCCAGTCTTACTGATCAGAAGCTATAACATAAAATCTGGACTGTCCGACTCTAAAAGTCATAATTCTATTGCCACACAGCCCCCAAGCTCTTAAAATTGCTTTTAAAAACTACTCAATAGAAAGATGAAGGAAAACCCTCTGAAGTCTCAACTCACGGACATTTAGGGAGACAGAGTTATTCACGCTGCTGAAAACCTCAGCTCCAGAAATATCTGTGCTAACAGTTCTGCTCCCACTCCTGGAAAGACCACAAGATGGCACGGTCAGGAAGATTCAAAACACAGAACTGAAAGTGACCTTGGGCAACAGAGCTCTCATTGTCCACAGGAAGATCCCCAGGCCCAGAGTGACCCGAGTATAGCTGCACAGCGAGTCTCTGGCTGGACTGGACAGACTGCTTCCCTAAGGCTGCAGGACAGGTCTGTCTCCTGGCTCACGACTGCAACCTGACTGCAACCTGACTGCAACCTGGATCTCGCTGGGACAGCCAGGCCTCCAGCAAGCTAGGGGGTAGGGCCCCACAGAGCGCTGCTTCCTGCCTCCTTTGCTTCTCAGCTCTACCTCAAGGAGTGGACTTACCTTCAAGAAGTGAAATAGCTTGTCTGCTCTGGGCAAACGTTTCCTTTACAGCAAGATGAGAAAAGTAAAGTGGCAGAGACTACTAAAGACAAGAGGTCAGAGAAAGTTCTACCACATTCCACAAGACAGCAGTTGTATGAGGAGGAGGGCAGGGCCTTCCTCTGCTTTCCTCAGCTTCTTTCCTAAAACTGAGCGACGTCTTTTAACTGTTTAATTCTATGGTGAACTCCAGGTTCAGAAAACACAATCCCCGTGCCTGTTTTACTAAAATGTTGATGGTTTCTCTGTTCAAGGTTTTATGGATTCTCTCCTGGCAAATGACAAGCGGCAGAACTCCAGACGGGCCAAGGTGTGACGCTCCATTTGCAGCAAAATTTGGCAATTAAAAGTACATTCAATTAGGCAACCTCTAATTATAATACATTTATATTTTATATATAGCATATAATTACAATAATATTTTGCTGTAAGAAAACAAAAATAATTGAATGAACTCAACTTTTAATATTGCAAATAGATTCGTTTCATGGTCTGAGCAACTCTGGGTAACTAAACATGGAATGTGACTTTATTTGGCAACAAAGACTTAAAAAATCCTAAAATACAAAAGATTTCAAAAGATTCCACTACTGTAAATTTAAACACAAAAACAAGCACACGCTATGAAACAAGTGACACTGAAGCTTAGAGAGGAGTCACCCGCCCAAGAATATTCAGCTAGTAAATGGTTCTCTTGACTCCAGTCCAGTGTTCTTTCCACTACACCAAAGCCTCAACCTCTTCATTCTCCTCCCCCGTCCCAAAACTAACCTCCAAAATTAAAAGAGCAGGAAAACAACAACAAAAACAACAACAACAACAACTCTGTTCTTTCCATGGCCTCAACATCTCTAGGTATTTTTACAACGTTAGCATTCAGAGGTCACATCTCCACAAACAGGTTGTTCCCTAAATTAAGAGCAGGAATTTTCCCCCTAGAAAACAATGTTATAGCACAAAGGCTAGAGCCCTCTGGCTAGGAGCAAAGCTGTGCAATGTAACATTTACTAGCTGTGTGCCCTTAGGCAAGTCATTTCTCTGAGCCTTTAAAATGAGACCAACATGGGCACCTAGGTGGTTCAGTAGGTTGAGCGACCGACTTCGGCTCAGGTCATGATATCGCAGTCTGTGAGTTCGAGCCCTGCATGGGGCTCTGTGCTGCTGACAGCTCAGGGCCTGGAGCCTGCTTCGTATTCTGTGTCTCCCTCTCTCTCTGCCCCTCCCCCACTCACGCTCTGTCTCTCTCTGTCAAAAATAAATAAACATTAAAAAAAATTTTTTAATGAGACCAACAGCATCTACCATGTATATTGTATTGTGGGAATGAAATGAGATGGTGCATTTAAAGCATTTAGCCCAGTATCTGATAGGGTAAGCACTCAAAAACATCAGCAGTTGTCACTCTTTAAAAGTGTTTTTTATGGGGACGCCTGGGTGACTCAGTCAGTTAGCATCTGACTCTTGATTTTGGCTCAAGTAATGATCTCACAGTTCGTGAGTTCGAACCCCACATGGGGCTCTGCGCGGATGGTGCAGAACCTGCTTGGGATTCTCTCTCCCCTCTCTCTCTGCCCCCTACCCCGCTTGCTGTCTCTCTCAAAAACAAATAAATAAGCTTAAAAGAAACTGTTTTTATGATTCAGTAGACTTCCATAAAAGCAGAGTTACTCTGCAAAGAAGAGTAAGGGAAAACCTAATCACAACTGATGACATCAGGTGAACAGCTTTGACTGAAGGGAAGAGGAAAAAAAAAAAACCAGATGCAGTGAGCAATCTCTAAACCAAGGAATCACAGTGCAGACCTCATGCTGGGGGCTAGAATCACAATGAAAATACCACAGTCCCCCCACTCAAGTGTCTCACAATCTAAGACAAGAGAGAAAGAAACTTAGACAACGGCAATGCAATCTGGTGGGAACAAGGATAGGGGCCCATCCTTGAGGGGAAGGGTTGGAAAAAGCATCCAAGTAGATCTGTACAGAGGTAGAAATTTGCCAAGAGGGAGCAGTTAATAATATGCATAAACCTCCTATCGCTACATTTATTGAGTCCTCTGTGCCAAGTACTGTGCTAAGAGCTTAACATAAATCATCTCATTTGATCCCTACCACTCTGAGGTTAAGTACTATTACCAAGCCGATTTTCAAATGATGAATCTGAGAATCACAGAGGTTAAGTAACCGTTATCCCATGTTCACACAGCTGATAAGTGGTGGCGTCCAAATTTGAACCCGAAGTCCTAGCATTTAACCCTTTCATATTCCAAACACAAAGAATGGCAAGTGAGAGAGACCAAAGCAACTTCCAGGAACTTCTAGAACTTCCTGGAAGTAATTCACTGTCGCTGAAAGATATCAGAGATGAAAAATGATAGGCAGGAAGGAACCAGGTCATTAAGGTCTTGAAGTCTATGTTAAAGGGTTTCGACTCTACCCGCGGTCAACGGGGAGCCCCTGAAGTTGTGAGGCAGGGGTATGACCTGATCAAACCTGTGTTTTAGAAAGATCACGGTGCCATCAGAAGGGGGTTAGGTCGGGTTAGGAGGCAACTGCTGTAATGCAGTCAGGAGCGTGGAGAGGGATGAGAATTCCAAAGATTCAGAAACGCAACTGCAAGCTGGACGCCAGGTCGCACACGGTGCACCGAGAGGCACAGGAACGTGGTCCGGGTTCCCCGCCGACAGCTCTCCCGCGGCCCCGCCCCCGATCCCCGCCCTCTATTTCGCGGGCTCTGCCCTTACCTTGGCCGTGCGGATCATGCGCTTGGCCACGTCCAGGTCGCCCTGGTGGTTCTGGCCGATCTCGGCAATGATGAAGCACGGGTGCTGCCCGCCCACCCAGCGCCCGGGACATAGCTCCAGTTCCAGCGGCATGGCGGCGGCTTGCGCTCCGGCGCCGCACTGCCCGCCGCGAGTCCGGTCCGCAGCCCAGCGGGGACCACAGGCCTGCCCAGGCACGTCAGCTCCGCCACGTCAGCCCGCCGCCACGCAGCCAATCCGCGGGCCCCACCTCGATCCCGCCAGCCAATCGAGGCAGGGGGCGGAGCCACCCGTAAGATAGGCGTTGCGGTGGGAAGGGAAAACCCAGCAGGCTCTGTTCGCGAGATCTGGGCTCTAGGCTCACGGCAAGGAAACCAGGGCCCCCACTCCTGGTTGCAGCGTCCCTGCGTGCACCCGTTAGCAAATATTCCCGAAGAGGGGTTGGGGAGGTGACGGCTGCCTTGGGCGTGGGGAGAGTGAGCCCTGCGGTGTAATGGAAAAAACAGATTCTGGAGGTGGACTTACTGAGGTGGGTGGTTTGAGCACAGCCCCTCCCACTAACCGGCTCTTGATCGTGAATAGTCTCTCTGAACGTTTTCTTTTTTCCATGAAATGGGAAAATGATATAGATTCGTGAGATGATGTATAGAAAGCCCTGGTCACGGTACATGGCCTGTAGTAAGGTTTCAGTAAGTGGTCTCCATTCCTGTTATATGAGAGGCAACAGGTTCAAAAAGTTCCACTGACTTGCCCAAAGCCACCCGGAAAGCCTGAGCAGAGCTGGGACCAGGACCCTGGACTGCCTCTCAGTCTAGGGCTGTTGCAGTATGTTGTTAAGTTGCAGACAAAGTTCAGAAATAAGAGGCAGTTTGGAGAAAAGAAAAAAAACACTGATTTCCAGCTTGACTTACCAGAACTGATGAGCAAAGTAACACTAAGAGAAAGGTAAGGAGGTGGCACCTCCAGGTGGAAGGCGAGAAGACATGTTAGTATAAATATGCAGGTGAAACTGCTTACCAGGTAGGAGGAAAGGCAGGGCTGAGGCTCAGAGTAGCGGTCTGGGCCAGAGATAAACCTGAGCCATTCAGAGCAAGACCAAGACCAAGGGTAGTTAGACTGCTGGCGGAGAGAGCGTACAGAGGAATGAGCCTGGGCAGATGGGAAGGCAGGAATGGAGAAAAGAGACTAGAAACAGGTGATAGAACTAGGGTGGTCCTGAGGTGGGGAGACCCACAGGGTCAAAGGCCCAGTGCAGTCCAGGAGAATAAGGAAGAAGAGACCAGGAGACTTGGGGATCTGCTGGAGATAGCAGATTTGTTTGCCAAGGGAGGTGAGGAAGCAGACAGGACAAAAATAGACATTTTCTGAGTCACATTGGTTGTTAAAGTAGATGGCAAATAGACCCTGGGCTAAACAGGGTCCCAGAGTTGAAGGGTTTTGAAGAAGTGCACCTTTGGAGGCCAGGAGGAAGCAACCAAAGGAAAGAGGGGTTCACTCATCCGTGATATGTGGGTGTGCTAGACCGGATGGCACATGTGTTCTGTCAAGTTTAACTGACAGTCAACCTCTGGGTGAGGCTGAGCAACAGACCCTGACTACAGAGAAAATTAAACGCAGCGCTAAAGTAACTCAGGAACTTCGTGCTAAAGAAAACCATTATGGTTTTGAATACTTTGTGAATAAGTGAAAATTAAAGGGAAAAAAGGTGAAACCACATTTAAAAATACAACCACGCCACAAAAGCAAATTAGGCTGATGTCATTTGTGATGACATAAAAGCCTTCAGTAAATTAAAGTAGTGCTATATAACTTACTAGAGTAAGGAGAAAAAGACAAATTTTTTATTTCATTCTCCCTTTTTAAAAAGCCAGTTTCCAGAGCTTTCTGAGGCGTTTTCTGCTTGGGTAATGAATCAATGTTCAATATATAGAAATGGGTGAGAGCATGTGGGAAGGTCTTAAAAACAAATTAAAACCAATGAGGGATTTTTTTTTCCTGTTATTGGCAAGAGAGGGCAAGGAAGAACTTAGCTTTGCAGAAACTGGGGTAACCCAGAGTGCTGGGTCATGGGGATCAAGGTAAAGGAGGGAGACCCAGTTCCCAGACCTGAGACCCCTGGTCTGAGGCTCCAGGGGTCAGCCCTACTATGCTAAGCCCCTTCTTAAGTTGGCCCCTATAAAGCATCCTACCACGTGGTAATACTACCTAATCATTTGCCATTCTGTGCTCTAGCTACACTGAACTATTTTGGGTTCCCCTAAAGCATCATGTTTTCTTACCTCCAGGCCTTGGCATAGGCTGTTTTCTGAGCCTGTAGGCTTCCCACTCCTCCACCTCCATGTACTGAGCCATGACTGACCACCTTCTGGTCCATTAATATAGAAGTCACTTCCTCTCAGATTCTTCTTGGGTCTCCCCAATAATCTTCTCTGGGCTCCCAAAAGACTCTTATTTGCCCACTTATTATCTCTTATGGTAACTGCGCCTCGTCTCATCTGTCTTCTCTTTAGATTGTGAACTTCTTTGGGTTGGGAACCATTTGGAGCACCTGCTCAGCACGAATAGCCTAGGGATACCATGGTGAACAAGATAGTCCATACCTCTGCCCATATGTTGCTTAGATCCTTCCTTGAACTATAAGTGTCCTGCAGGGCCAGGAGCTCCTTGAGAGCAGACCTGGACTGTTTCTGACTATATCCCTAGCACCAAGCACACAATTTCTTAGCACTTAATAGGTGCCAATAAATATTTTCTCAGTGCCCAGGTGCAGAAAAGGAAAGATGGCATGAATACGGAGGCATAGCTGACTTCATATATTTATTCCTCGGGCCACATTCAATCTTAGGCAAACATGACTGTTCCCTGGGTTGCTCCTGAAGTCAGCCTTCTGGAAAGTTCCTCTGAGGAAGAAGTGAATTGTTGATCCACCCAAGTTTCCCAACCCCAGCCGCCAAGGACCTGGTGGTAAGTGGCCAAAGTGTCTGATACTCTCAAGTTTCTCAGTTGTTCCATTTACAGGCACCCTTGCTAGTCACACTCCCACCCACACCTACTTCCTGCTTCCTCAACCTTGGTCCCCATCCCTGTGACATAAACATCATTTTTCTACTGTCCCTGAGAAAATAAGCCCACCATCACACCCTGGGGGGTATGGAAGGTAGAAGTCAGCTCATACTGACTCCCTCAGAGAATTTTGACCTGTGTATACACATCTTACCTGCCTCCGTTTTCCAAATGCGACTTCACCCCCCATTCAACAAATAATTTCTGAGTGCCTAGTATGTCAGGCACCTCGCCAGGCACCAGGAATAAAATGGGGAACAAAGAGTTTTCTTGCAACTTGTAGTTTACAATAAATATCTTTAAAAAGTAAATTTGAAGATCTACCGGGGTTTATGAAACAGTTCATGAATTGGGCAGCACTCCCTCTAGCAAGTAGAGGAATTGTACAAAATGAAAGGTTTTTCTAGACAGAGTGGGGCAAGAAAGGTACTCATGAAAGAAAAGGATTGCTCCAGAGAAGTCTGCTTGCTAGGGAAAAACAAGGTATCTTATCGTGCAGATCACCTCATCTTTCTTTGGGGGATGGAGAGAACCCAGGTGGCAGATTTCATTGCCTCTCATGGAAAGAAAAATTTCCTGACCTGTTAAGACCATATTTCAGTGGGGGGTGGGGGAGGGTTTGAAACTGCAATTAGATTGGGTACTAAGCCCTGGTTTGGGAACTTGGTCTATGTGACACCATGTGGGGCCTATGGTTTTCTTTATTTAACAATATAAAATCATGAATTATAATAATAAGGGCAATGAAAAAAACAAGTTGAGTGCTGGTAAGACTAACAAGGGGAGGGGCTTCTTGGCATGGGGAGTCATAAAGAGTCTTTTTTTTTTTTTTTTGAGAGAGAGAGAGAGAGAGAGAGAGAGAGTGCAAAGTGGAGGAGGGAGGGACAGAGAGAGAGGGAGAGAGAGAATCTCAAGAAGGCTCCATACTCCACACGGAGCCCGATCCCATGACTGTGAGATCATGACCCAAGCCTAAATCAAGATGGGGACGCTCAACCAAATGAGCCACCAAGGCACACCCAGGAAGAGTCTTTCTGAAGAGTTGACATTTAAGGTGAAAACCCCCATCCCAAATTCCTTCCAAATGATAAAAATCTCTTCCTGTGTAGGGTCACCACATGAGACTGAGACAGAACATTGTCCTGGAAAAAGCAGGACATTCCAAACAGGGTTTGGAATAAGTCAGGCCTGGGTTCCACTCTCAGCTCTGCCCCTTCCAGAGGAAGAACTTTTCAACTTCCTGCCACAGGCAGGCAAACCCCACCAGAGGGCAGGAGTGAGGATTGCAGCAGAAGAAATGTGTGAGACCCCTAACAACCCAGACCTGTCCACCCAGATAGTGGTCTCATTCCTGAACTCTGATTCCCTGGTCTGTTTCCACTGCCTGTGGCCTCCTGGGACCTTCCCTACCCTCAGACCTCATCCGGACAGTCAGCAGCCTTATCTCCCAAATTAGGATAGTGGATCTCTATGATGTGTCTCTACTTGCTCTTCTCACCTTTAACTTCCAAGAGTCCCCAAAGCTTTAAGAACTTTAATTCTTCTCCCCTCACACTTAGAGATGTTGGCAATCTTATCTCTTCACTGGGTTTTAAGATCTCATGTGTCCTCATGGGCAACTCCCAGACATTCATCACCAGCCCAGACAGAGTCTTCTCCCTGGTTGTCTGCTCAGCTCACAGCCATTTCTAAAAACAGCCCAGTAGCTCAGAATGCCCCATAGCAACCCTGTCTCAACCATGGATACTGTCAACCTGAGGACAACCAGATTGATCCAGACACATGCTAAAAGATACTATCCCAGGGGTGTCTGGGAAGCTCAGATGGTTAAGCATCATACTCTTGGTTTCAGCTCAGGTCATGATCTCACAGTTTGTGAGATCAAGCCCCTCATAGGGCTCTGCACTGACATCGCAGAGCCTGCTTGGGATTCTTTCCCTCCCTGTCTCTCTCTGCTCCTCCCCTGCTCTCTCTCTCAAAATAAATAAACTACAAAAAAATATATATATATATTAGAGAGCCTGGGTGGTTTAGTCGGTTAAGCAGCTGACTCCTGATTTCAGCTCAAGTCATGATCTCACAGTTGTGGAATTGAGTCCTGCATTGGGCTTTGTGCTAACAGCGT